TTTATCTAATCCTTTTTTTGTTTATATTAGAAACAAATGCACAGAAAAGCCATAGAAAATATATTGTTTCCCAACATTTGATCTTCCCAAGATATTAAGGATTTGAAGACACAACATATGATCTTCAAGGACAACTTAATTTTTATTTTGATATTTTGTGTAAACAATGTAACCAGTTTTATATTCTAGGTAAACATTATTTTTTTAAATAAATTATTTTATCAATTTTTTGTGTAAGCAATGTAACCAGTTTAAATTTAAAAAATACTCATAATTTATCACTCGATTTTATTGAAAACCTGAGATACATGAGGGTTATTATTGTAAATAATAAAAATGCAGTTGATGGGGTTCAAATCCATGCGCAATTAAAATATCCCGCACTATTATAAACACCGAGGTGCTAAGTCCATACTTTTTATGAAGACCTTATTTACCTCGCTTCTGTAACCAAGGTAAAATGCATTTCGCGTTCGACGTTAAAAGGACTTTTTGTAGTAGTGTACATTGTGTTCTTCATATTTCACCATTTATTTTTTTGCACTTTACTTTTCAAATTCATTAAAAAGTTCAAGAAAAATAAGAACACACGAGTCGTTGTTTAAAATCGAGAAAATATCGTTAAACCTAATCCCCCCCCCCCCCCCCCCCCCTCTTAGGTCGCACTCATTTCTTACAAGAATAACTTCTCTCAAAAACGAAAACTAATATTTTTAAGTTATGTGCATGGATAGAGTGAGTTACATACCGAAAACATGATGAAAAGGGTACGACAATGGTAGAGGAAGCTTTGTTCGAGTTTGGATGTGTTTCTATTGTTTTAAGTTTTTCTCAATGGCGTTATGTTGTTCGAAGGAAGGAAACATATGTATGCTGGAAGAGTTGATGTTCGAACACGTAAGTGTGTTGAAAGAGATGATGTTTCAAAAATGATAATGGAATCTGAGTTTAGAAATGTGTTAGGGCATTTTTATGAATAAGTGTTGAAAGATAAATGAAAAATTGGAGTCTAGTTATATGAAATATACATGTATATGATCTTTCACTTCAAGTATGTGAGACAACCGAGGAAATAGTTAAATTTAAAATTTAAAAAAAATTAAAAAGTGTCATATTTTGATAAATTCATGCAATGATATACTTCCCTTTGATTGGGTCATCTAAACGAGGGAATAGAATTTTTTTTTTAAAAAAAGAATAGGAAAATAAATACCAATTGAATAAATGGAAGATTTACCTAATTAATTGGATTAAATCAATATTTTTGTTTCTAAATAATTATTTTAACTTTTTCGTATTAAGTATTTTTCATCTAACAAAGATTAATTTGGTAATTAAAAAAGGAAAAAATATCAAATGAAATAATGTAACACTTGATCTCTAAACCAATTGAGAAAAAAAAAACATAAAACAAAAAAACAACAATTAGGAATCGAAACGTAAACACTAATACATCTATTCCCTTAGTTGGTTCAAAACACCGAGGAAATAAATTGTATTTTTGTAAAATTAAACATGGTGCACTGAGAAAATGTATCTCGATTATTTATTTATCGATATAAATTTTTTATCATAAAATATATTATTTATTACAGAAATAATTATTAATTATATTGGCTTAAAGGAAAATTATCCATTTTCATGTATAAATTGTGGTATGAGAGAAATAATAACTCATTTATTATCCATAGATCAATAAATAAGCTTCTCAAAAATCCTTGATACACACTTGAATTTGAATCTATACCTCTATTTTTAAAATAGGTCCGAAGTTAAAAAAAAAATCAAAATCAAATGAGAGATATACAAAAAAATAACTCTTTTCAGTAATGTTAATTTGTGACGTGATTATTATGTAGTAAAAAACAGGATAGTTGCGACGTGAAAATCATGTCACTAATATTTTTAGTATTAAAATAATGAATATAACATTAACATAGTAGGAGTCTGAGTTTTTTTTTAAAAATATTTGCGACATGAGAATCGTATCACAACTTTAAAATTAAAATTAAAAATTAAAAAGGATGTAACATTCACATGGGGGAAGTTTGAAATTTTTAAAATTTTAGTTGTGACGTGTGAATCACGTCGCAACCTTTTAAGAGGGAAAATGGTCTGACTTGGAATTGATTTGGTGCAGGTTGGTGCAGGCTGGGAATAAGACTTTGATCATTGATGTTTTATGACGTGAATATCATGTGACAAAATCATGACGGAGTATTCACGTCACTACGTGGCTTATTTAAATTCACTTTTCGCTTCTCAGAACCACTAGTTTTGTTTCTTCTCTTCTCTTCTATTCTTCATCATCTCTTCTCTTCTCTTTCTCTACTGTATATCTTCTTCACTCCTATCTCAATTTCTATTTCATAATTTTGCATAATTGGTTTATATAGGTCATTGTCTTACATAATTTATCTTCAATTTATTTTTATTATTTTGTTTAATATTTATTATATTTTCATATATAAATTTATGTTTAATTTGTTTTGTCAAGTTATTGAAGAGAAAAAGATTGAAGAATATTGAAGTGCTTAGGAAAAAGGTTAAAGAAGAAGATTAATTAAAAGAGATTGAAGAAGAGATATTTATGCTATTTTTATTTATTTTTTATTTTATGTATAAATTGGATTGTTCGGTTGTGTTTAAATATTATGTTTATATTTTTGTAAAAATTGTTATGACGTCAATATTAAAAAATAGGTAATTTTTTGTTATGCTAATATTATAAAAAAATAAAATGAAAATTTACTTAATATGTTTATTTAAATTTGAAAAAATACAGTATAATATTAATTTTTGTTTTTTATTATTTTTTTATTTTATTATATGTAAAACAAAATATAAAAAAAAATTAAAAACAAAAATTAATATTATACTGTAGTTTTTCGAATTTTTTTTTGGAATAACCATGTATTAAAATAAAATTCGCAAATAACCATGTTTCGGAGAAAATTACGCAAATAACCATGTTTCAGAAAACTCCCCAAGAAAGGAGCCATCCCACTTGGCGCCTACACTTAATTTTAAGGGAAGGCGCCATCTCACTTGGCGCCTAGGTGTTACAGGCTTGCCCTAACAGCTTCCCTTTGGTAGCAAAACCAGATTATTAGCTTGCATACGACAGCGAAATAGTATGGCACAATGACCAAATGCGAAAGAATAAAAAGGATCGTCCCAAAAGTAAGCGCATCACAACCGAAATGGACTTTCTTGACAAGCTGGAAAAAAAGTGTGGTTTATGTCGTCAGGTCGGACACAATCGCAAAAATTATCCGAATCGGGCTACTGCCTCAACCACATAAAAATTGTATTACAAAAAATCTTTCCTTTATTATGTTGTAAATATTAGGGTTTTTCGTTAACAGTATTTATTACAATAAACATTGCGTGAACAAGAAATAAAACACGATAAATCGTCTACGAAATTACAACCGTTAAAACAATTTCATCTGACCCATGCATCATCAACATTATGTCGCTGTCTGTTTTGACTTCCTCCAACCAAAAATTAGGTCTTCCTGTCGCAAGTGAGGTTGCTGTTCGTCTTCGCTGGATCCTTCTAATTTATTCCCCCTCCACGATGTCTCTCTCTAGTCATCGCATCAACTCCCTCTTCAGACGCTCCATGGAGTGAATGTGCCAGAATTTCATTTTCATTGGAGGTTTTATGGCGGAGAAAATAACATAACCATCTTTGGTAAAAATCATGGGCGATGTCATGATGCAAATAACAGAGTAAAAAATAAGAGAACAACGCGAGAAAGTGTGAGGAATGACAGAGAAACAGACGAATTATTTATAAAAACAACATTTTGCCCTAGGAGTCAAGGGAGATGGCACCTCCTCTCACTTTTAAAGTGCATGCGCCATCTCACATGACTAAAAGAGAGTGGAGGCGCCAAGTGGGATGGCGCCTAGGACAAGAATGGGAGTGGAGGCGCCAAGTGGGATGGCTCCTCCCTTGAGGAGTTTTCTGAAATATGGTTATTTGCGTAATTTTTTTCGAAACATGGTTATTTGCGAAAATTTTTTTAATACATGGTTATTCCAAAACAAAATTCTAGTTTTTCAAAACAGAATATATATGATATTTATATATTAAAAACAGGATTTATATATATATTATATATATAATAAGAACAGAATATATATATATATATATATATATATATATATATATATATATATATATATATATATATATATATATATATATATATATATATATATATATATATATATATATATATATATATATATATATATATATATATATATATATATATATATATATATATAGTAATATTAAATTATATTAAGTTTTTTTATTTTATTAATTTATATATTTAATTATTAGTTTAATTTATTAATTAATTTGTTTTGAAAATATTATATTTGTGACGTGATTTCCATGTCACAAATTTGTGACATCTAAATCACATTGCAACCTCCTGATTGCAAATGAAAATTAGCGATATGATTTTCACGTCACAAATTAATTATGTAAAAATCACGTCGCAACAAAAGTATTTTTCTGACCAACAGTCTATTATGTCTGCTCTTACTACAACATTGTGGATAATTGTGCAAAAAATTACGACGTGATTTTCACGTCACAACTCTATGACATTAAAATCACGCCACAACTAAGTTGTCATACGCTCTCTTGCGACATAATCAATCACATTGCAAAAAAAACACGATGTGACGCGATTTTAGAGGATGTGACATTATAATCACATCTTAAATAGGCTTATTTTAGATAAATCTTCCAACTATAATTAGCCTTAATAAGAATGATGCGTTTTTTACTTCTATTATTTAATTTATATTTTAGTTTCTCACTTTTTCCCATTAATTAGAGGTAATCATAGGTATTTGACGCATGTTTACAAATAAGTGGTTAACCTAATGTGTGTGCATGTTTCTCTTTACTTTGATCATATCCATTATTATTATATATGAAATACTTTTAAATAATTGTTAATGATTAATTATTATTTGATCATCCTCCTTCCACCACATCCATTTTCTCTTTGACAGTTGAAATAGATAGCAGAAACAGGTGATCCAAGATTATAAATTTCTGCAAAATCTCTAGTAATGAAATTCTGTAGCCATCCAGGTGGTAATATAGTGCGTCTACATTGTTGTTGAAATAGCACAAATATCATACGATGAACTCCTGATGTTGGTCTTGGACTTTCATAGCTCACTATCTCTTGTCCTACAATTACAAAACTATATTATTTTTGAAGTTGAAATTGAAATTTGGAGGAGTTTTCTTAAATTTGAAAATTGTGAACATACCAAATGTTGTCCCTGTAGTAGCTGGAATATTAGTTACCATCCTATTTAAGCATCAAAGGAAAGAAATAAAAAAACCATTAAAATTTGAATGAACATTTTTTTTTTAATTTTCATGAAATTGAAATATTAGAGTCAAAATAATAATAAACATAATTTCTAATACAATATTTTTATCTTTAGTCATTAACAAGTATTCTAAGATCTGAAAACAAAGCATTATATCAATTTAGCATCATTCATGAATTTTTTATTTTTTCTATAAACGAAATATTATATTACTATTATCATCTTGAGGACTTAAGTTCGGTTGCATTTGTTAATCAAATTAAACTATTCTATAAATTTTATTATTTGGCGATTGTCGGTGATTGTCCTTAGGTTGTGGATTTTGGTTATTCACTTTTTGCGAAACTGCGGATTTATAAAAACATTTTATTGTTTGAAATACCCTATCTCTTTTATATTTTAGAATGTAGGAGTTTTTCTTGTTGTAGTTTCAGATGGAGTATTTTTTATATTTTATTTTAATAGATTATTACCTATTTAAAGAAAATTATTATTTGGAGAATTATTAAAATGAATAGATTTTATTTTAAATGAATAGATTTTATTATTTGGAGAATTTTTAAAATTAATAGATCATTGCTCTATTCAATGTTAATTTCAAATTTGTTCCAATAAGTTACAAAAATTAATACAATAGTCACTGATTATTATTTAAATTTTGAAAGTGAGTCCCTTTATTTTTGTATTCGGTATATGTGTTTATATAATTTTGAAAGTGAAACCCTACGTATTTTTAAATCTTGAAAAGTGATCCATATTTTGAATGTTTATAAAATTTTTCAACAATATTTAAAAATAAATACTTATATTACTCTATCTATACAAAAAAATTTAATTCAATTGATACATTTGACTTATCAGTTCAAAATTTATTAAACAAAAATCATTAATTTTTATTGGACTAAAAGAGAAAGCTTAAAACAATAATTAAACCCGACATTTTTAGTAATAGAATTTATAATTAAAGAATTTAAAATTATATAAACTATTTTATAAATATTAATTAAAAAAGAACAAAATTTAGATATAATTATTTAGGCGTAATTCTTACTATTTTATAATGAAAATATGACAAATATATAATTTTCTTATATATATATATATATATATATATATATATATATATATATATATATATATATATATATATATATATATATATATATATATATATATATATATATATATATATATATATATATATATATATATATATATATATATATATATATATATATATATATATATATATATATATATATATATATATTCTCTTATTTTTACTGTTTAAATAATATTTAAATATATTTATCATATATCGCTTTTGCATTTTATCCATATTAAATAAAGGGACTCCCATGCATTGTATAAAGTTGGAGCATCAAAACTACTCCCATGCATTTTAACAGAAAAGTTGACACTAGCTCACTGAAAAATTAAATGATTTTGTATATGTAATTAATTTTAATTATATGGAAATAACCCTACAACAATTTTTATTTTAGGCGCCATTTCAAACTAATAAAGTGTAGCCAAAACTTTAGGCGACACTTTGACCAAATACTAAGAAAACAATTTATAACCGTTGAAACAAAATGTTGTGTAATTCTTAATTAAGTTCATATGGGTTATTTACCCCACTTACCAGTTAAGGTATTCTCTCATATGAGGATGACAAGGGTTTGGTGAATCGGGGTTCACCATCACCTGTAAAGTGTCACAAACTCAAAAACCCTAGAAAGAAAATCTCACAAACTCACAAGGGTTTGGATCATATGGTAACCTCTTTGGTTTTTAAAAAAATAAATATATACTTAATAAAAGAATATGGATATCAACCAGAGTGTAAAGAGTCCTGAGATCATTTCCACCAACTTGAACTCATGGAGGGTTCACTGTTTGAGAAGGTTGAGCTCACTATTGTTGATCACTTCTTTGTTATTTTACAACCTTTAGAGATACGAATTTGTAAATAGATCTAAAACATCTCCAAATTACATTACCTACAACAAGAGGATTTGATGATTTCATATGCATGATTAGTAATGTATATATGCCTTGATAATCTTGTTCATTTCCTCTTACTATGCTCATGCTTTTATATATGCTTTGGACTTCCCTTTCATGAGGTGAGCACTTGTCATCAATAGATTCTGTCTTTTCTTTCTACCATGTTCCATTTTAATTACCCTCTTCTTAAATTTATTGTTATTGTATTTCTTTTTACTTTAGGAAGCAAATGCTGTAAGATATTTGGGTATGATAATCCTGGATAACTTCGAAGAATCGTGTTCGTACACTTTTCGAATAAAGTATTTCGACTCTATTCTTGCCTGGGTTCACGAAATCTTTGTGCGGATAATTCTCGAAGAACAATCTATTTCTGGCAAAAGAAATTGATTACAAATATAGAGAGAAAGAGACGTTTTTCCGTTATTGAAACCGAGGCCAAATGACTCCTTATATAGGAGATCAATAACTGAAACCCAGCCAGGGCTCCGCCCCTTGGACCCCAACGGGGCGCTGCCCCGCACCCCGCCAGGGGCTTCGCCCCTTGGAACCCCAACGGGACGCTGCCCCGTACCCCGCCAGGGGCTTCGCCCCTTGGAACCCCGTTTCAATTATTCATATTCAATTATGCATTGGCTCGACGAGCGTGCACTCCGCACTTCCCTAACTCGTTTCCGAACTTAACGCATAATTGCATCGGCCTTTAGTAAATCACATTACTACTAAAATACATTGGTGATACTAAAATCACCAACAAATCCCCCCCATTTTAGTGTAATCCTTGATTTACTCAGTACATACAAATATATACAAGGGTACAACCTACAGGTAAAACGATCAAACAAATGCATAAACGAAAATGCACTACGCCAAATAAGCTATTTAATAGCGCTTTTTTTTTGTTTTTGATAGCGCTTAAAAGTGCTATTAACCGCGCCACTATTGTAAATATTTCTTATTTAATAGCACTTTAAAAGCGCTATTAAAGTACCAATTTATAATAGCGTTTTAATTAAAGTGCTATCAAAGTCAGTATTTTGCATGTTTTTTGTTTGTTTTTTTATAGCACTCTAAACAAAAAGCGCTAATATATAACATATGTTTGATAGCGCTTTCAAATAAAGTGCTAATAAATGGTACATATTTGGTACAATATTTTTAATAAGTACAGTACAATATTTTTTCTTACACAATCATTTTTTTTGGTGTAAATATAAAATAACTATATTCAATTCAACACAAATAACGCTTTAAGTTACTCATTGCATATATATTATGATCCATCAAATACCAAATAACATTTTAAATTACCAAATCCTATTGTTTCCAAATATCATAACATATAGAATATTAAGAGGGCGTTTGCATAGCCAAATTTGTAGATGCCCATCTATGAGTACTTCAATCCAAATCCAAAAACATACAATCAAATTCTCTAAACAAAACACCAAAAAAATAAGAAAGGATAACAAAACAATCCCATGTAGTAACCACCTTCATGATCCAAAAGCGTTGAACTCATAGATACAGTCACTAATTAGGCAAAATAATTGCTTCTTGTTTTCCTGTATCATAGAAGGAATATTGATTATATATTGTACAATAAAAACTAATTCAACATATAAAGAATAATCAAACATTTAATATGGGTCTAACAAGAAGCGCATAAAATAAGGAATGATTATTATAAACTAATAACAATAAATCGATATAACTAATGCAATAATTGAACTAATTAAGTCTAACAAGAACATGACTTGTAAATATATAGACCACAATTTCCATTATTAGATGCATATAAACACTAAACAGAATATAATTCAAATTCTCAAAATATACATAAACACTTAATTGTGTGTAACTTTCTTTTCATGATCCAGAACTAGATATCAAACACCTTACAATTGTTACTACGAATATCTAAAAATTTCAAGTAGAAACGGAAAACTATAAATCAATCATACAATAAGATATAAGTCATTTTTCCGTATTTTCCTATTTCAAAATTTAAATTCGAGACCAAGAAAGAACACTCAGTACCTCTGTGCCATATCTTCTAAACCAATAAAATACTAAAATCATTTATACGACAACTCTAAATCCAACTCAAAAATTAAAATTAAACATCTAAGTCAAAACATTTGAACTCTAAATCCATGAGTAATATTTGTCTTGTTTATCAAGTATCAAGTCAAGGAAAAACTCACCGAAAACATCATCCACCACATAAGTAGCCCAATCCTCCTTAACCTCAGTTAACTTATCATGAGAGTAGGTACGACATTTGTGGTCAAAAAAGTACTTCAAATATGAAAACATCAACAATTAATCGTGTTAGAATTAAATTATATTAATTTAATTTACAAAAGAATAATAATAATAATTAAAATCACGTACATTTGTGGGGATCATAAATTCATTTTCCATGATGACCTCTTTCATAAATCGCATTACAAAGTATCCACAATCAACGCCATTAATTTGACGAGGACACTACAAAAAAAAAATTTATATCGATTAATTTTACTCCACATAATTGTTTTAAAATAACATTAATTTAGACACATACCTTTATTTTTTGCCATGAGATTTTCTTTGACTTTGACACTTTAGGCACTTTAGAACTACTATTAGCACGATAAATTTGCAAAGCGCTAACAAAATGAAATTAACTTCAAATGAGTAATTATATAAATAATAATACGTACATAAATTTTAAATTAAAAGAGTCTATACTCACTTCTCAAACTTTGTTTTAAAATTTTGATGTTTTGTTGGCTCACCATTCAACGGATCCATATAATATATCACCTCAGCATTGAGATTGATGACAAGCAACACCCAATGTTTCCTGCACCCAACATTTAAATATTGCATTAAAGATTCACATTCATTAGAGTTTTTTCTCGTTAATTTAATAACTTTTTGAATATAAATCTCACCCTAGATTACAAGGTGCAAGAATCATCTTATCCTTGAACTCCTCATCTTTCAAAAGTATTTTTGCTATACCATTTCCTAGATTATCCTCCTGTGATACATGTGGAGATATGAAAGAGAACTTATTTATTAATCCATTTGGACTAATAAACTTGTCATACAAATACCTAGAAATGAACAACAATTGATATTAATATATTTGTCACCAATGTGAATATTAGTCAACAATACAAATAACATTAATATTAATAATATATTTGTCAAATAAGAGAATATTTGTAATAATAGAGGTACCTGGAAAATACAGTGATAATAGATGCACTTAACCAATTGTGATCAAGAATCTCCTTTATACTCTCTACACGTAGTTGCTCTAAAAACTCCTCACCAAATATACTTTCCTCCATTTTTATTTGAATTAATGATCCAACCCTCATCATCTTTTTCACATACATATCAAGGAAAGGTAAATTTGCAATACCAGCTGAACCGCCAACTCTAGGAGACTCTTCGATTTTGAATTTTTTGTTACTTTTGTTGGGTGATGAAACTGAATATTCAACATTGTGTTGAATATTGTTACCTTTGTTTTGGGATTGACCAGGAATCTAAAAAGTTGTATTAATTAATATTAGTGATAAAATAATAAAACAAGTAGCGATCAAGCAACTTGATTATAAGTAATTTACCTTTTCACATTCAGCAACAAATTCAAGAAGTTTCGTTGGCCATGGCACAATTGTTCCTATTGCTTGACCAACCATGGATACATCTCCATCTTCAACAGATATAGGCAATGGGGCATTTGGCACAATAGCAACTTCGATATTAACCTTGACATATCCAGGTGGTAACGTCATTCCATGTACCGTGTTACCTTTGGTGTTATATAGTTTTCCACGAGCAACCAAACAACGACTCGGGGAGGATAAATATATATTAACAGGAAAGAGACCCTAAACCAATAAGATATGAATAAAAAGATTAACATCATTATTGAAAGAACAAACATATCGAATTTGAGAGATAATAAAGAAACCAATTACCTCGGGAATGTTGCCAAATGATCCAGGGTTGCAAGAACCTTTATCACTAGGTAGTCGACTCTCAGCTACTTTTTCAGGTTGTTTCCTTTCTACCACTTGTTCAAGGTGTTGCCTCTGTGCCACTTTTTCAGGTTGTTGCAACCTCTCTGACACTTGTTTAGGTTGTTGCCTTTCTTCCACTTCTTCAGTTTGTTGCCTCTCTAGCTTCTCTCTATCCAACTTATCTCTCTCAATCTTTTCTCTCTCTAGCACCTCCAATCTACTTTTGAGTGAATTACAAAAGCCATACAATTTTTCAAAATCCATTTGTGTGGGGCGATTTTGGCGTGGTAATATGTCCCTAGAACATACCCCAAAACCATAAGTCCTAACACGTCCATAGTAGTTTGGGAGATTAAGAGCCTCAAATAATATGTTTGTGGGACCAAGGTCTTGTCTCTCTTCTTCAGATAGAGCTTCTGTTAACTTCTCCTGACATTGATAAGTATAAAAGAAATAACCAATAGTTAGATACAAGTTGCAATTAATGGCTATTCTATCAAAATAAGACACAAAGACTCAATTAATTAAGGAAAATCGAGTTTAATGACTTCAAACTAACTAACAAAATACAAATTCGGTAACAATGATGAGTATAGAAAAAGTGTCACATCTATAATGTGAGCATTTTGGAAATAACATCTATAGTGTCACATCTAAAATTCGACTTACACATTGATCCACAACTCTTTGAACATTCTCATTATCAATCACCCCGCTCTTATTGACGCGGGCAGCCTTCCACACTTGACTACGGTTTATCTCACCAACTTCTGACTTTTCTACCTGTATATACATTTTTACAAATTAACATAGCAATTAAATTTTTTTATAATATTGTATAGTACATTTATACACATACTTACCATATCAGCTTCAAGACGAGCACACCCTAAACGTGACTTTCTATAGAGATGTTGAGGATTTAACGCTCTTTCTCGATTCTCATCACTAACTTTCTGCATTTATTATAAAAAATGCATCCCACAACACCATCACTAA